TGCATAATTTTTGAAAAATATTGCATTTTATAAAGATTATACATTTCGCGGGTTTTTCCGCATCCAGATCCATTCTTGGAATGCCAACGTTTCGTGAACCTTACAGTCCACTTTATCAGGGCGAGGAGCAGCTTGATACTGAACTGTTTCTCCGGGCCGTTCCTTTTATATTACGCTACTTATTGGAGTGGTGGGAAGAAAGAAGAGAATTGTGGGTGGGGTGAGGAGAGAGTGGAGGAAATTAGTCAGTCTTCAATAACCGGGAGAATGGTTTTATATTTTATTACATATTTTATTTATGTTGCAGCCATTATCTCTATTTAGATTGTTAGAGTGTTTTTGTATCTCTATGGCTTCTCGATACTTTTTTGAAAAATATGATATAATGTTGACTATTGTGATTGTTTTGTCAAACAGTATTTGATGTCCTGTTTCGATAAAAGAATCGGCCCGGAGGAACAGTTCAGTATCAGGCTGTTCCTCGCTCTGATGAAGTGAATTGCAAACTTCACGAAACATTAACCAAGAATGGATCTGGTCATGGAGAAATCCGCGAAACGTGTAATCTTTATATAGAAAGCACTCCGTGCAAGCCTCAAGAATATTGCATTTTATAATTTATATATATATATATATATATATATATATCTTTAATTGCACTTTTTAAATAATTTTTTAATGCAAATTATGCAAGAAAATAATAAAGTATTGCATTATTTGAAATGCCAAAGCCGACCCGTTGATGAACTAGGAAAATGGAATTATTTTTGTTGTGAAGATCATTTCGATATAGGTATTATATAAAATGTTTTTTATGCTTTTTAATTATAATAATTATATAAATATTAATCATCCATATAATATCCAACATAACCTAAAACATTGAATGTCAAATGTAAAGATATTTTGGAAATTTGTAAAATTATTCTAAAATTATTTAAAATTATTTAAAATTATTTTAAAATTATAATTCATAATTAATAAAAAACATGTTTTTAATGTATAAATGTCATTTTTTAAATATTTATAATCTTAAATTAATAAAATTTATTAGAATAACTTGCTTTTCTAATTTTTAAACATTTTTTTTGCAAACGTTATGAAATTATCAACTGGCAATGAATCTTTTTTAGTACAAAAGTTAAAACATTAACTGATGCATTGGTAATGTATAAACTGTTCTTTTCTATTGTTAATATATTTCTTCTTGACATCTAATAATGTATGTCTTGACAACTGATTAATTGTTTTGCTTTAGTTTGTTCGATTACTTTACAAAATTAGAGTTGTCATCTAAATATTCAGTCGTAGATTCAGAATTAATTGTCATCTCATTAGTTGTAATAAATTTTTTGAAGTTGCAACATTAGACAAGGCTGATTTTGCAGACTCATATAGTCTATTAATCTACATAGAAGGTTATATCATGCTTATATTCTCCTATAATTAAATTCCATTTATTTATAGAAACCTATTATATATTTATATTTTTACAAATATGTATTATATATACTATTATATATATTACTTATACATATATAATATATATAAAAGTTTATGTATATATATATACACATAAACTTTTGTCTTGGATTTATTTTTACTTTGTATTTTTAAAGTTGCAAATAACTGTTTTATAAGGTTATTTAAACTGTTTATTGAATTATTACTTTTATGAAATAAAAATTTAGTTGTTATTTAAACTATTGCTTTCAAATATTTTAACCTTTTTTTTGATGTTGCACGCATTCAAGACATTCTACACGTTGAACTATTTCTTTTTTTTCGTCAACAATATACAGATTACATAATCTTTTTGTCGAACACAGTATTCAAGGCAGATTCTTCCTTTTAATACAAATAGAACCTTTCTTGACATCAACAGTATAACCTATATAGATTATACTCCGCTATAACGGGGTTAGTGTAATTTTCTCTTGCTGATTTATGATACAGAGATACAATAATCATAATATTTATTCGTGCTACTTAGAATAAAATTGAAAAAGTTACTGTAATAATAAAAATGTACTTACAAAGTTGCTTTTATTCCTCGAACTTCTGATTATATCACTCATCATTAACAATGTACTCTCAAATCATAAATACAGTTATTTTTGGTAAATTCATTGAATCGATTAATGAATCCTGGATCCAGTTGGTTTGGTATTTTATTTTAATACTCTTAATTTATAAAGAGATTTTTAAAAAGAGATTTTTAAGATTTCGCTTTTAGCCTTCTAGTGTAAGTAGACAGTTGCAGACGATTTACTGTAGTGTGACGTCACGCACTTGTTAGCCAATCAAAATTGTTTTCTCAAATTTCAAATATTATTAACTTTATTTTAGTTTTTTAGTATCTACCTGTTGCTAAAAATTAAAAATTTTATTATACATAAATTTATAATAATGTATATTTTCATAATAAACAAAACAAGTTATTTATTATTTTTTTCATGCAAACTCCCTATTGCACACGAGCCAATTGTGCACAAGTCAGTTACAACGCTAAAAAAAAATATTAAAAAACACTCCTTACATAGAAGTCGCTGTGATTGGTAGTGAGTAATTGCTACAGTGTGCAAATGAATTCTCCCGGTTTGCTGCTTCTGGAACGCGCGCGCGAGGTTTATGCATATAACTTTATAAGCTTCCTCTAAGTGGCGATACTGAATCTATTCGTGTATTTTTAACCCTCAAACAGCACACTTATTTTCAACACTTTCGAATGGCACACATGGGTTCATTTGTATCCGACTCGAATTTAAGACTCTTAAAGTGCTTGAAAAATTCTGTAAAGAGTCACACATGTTCTTTAACTTTACTGAATTATTCTGCTATGTAGACATTGAAAAAAAGTTTAGAAAAATTATGAAAATTACTTTCTACAACAAAAAAAAGAAAATAATTCAGTTTTGATATAAAAATTGTAACTTTGAAAAAAAATATTACAAGAGATTATATTAGATGCAGAAAAAGTGCAATTATTTGAGCATCTGAAAATATCATATTTTTAATATGGACAAGTAATATTTTTTGAAGAAAAAATAGTTTGATTTTATTATTAAATACTAAAATTATTTATTAACGCAAACAAATAAATATATTCTCTTCACCCGATGGAGCTCCGCCAAAAGGAGGAAGATTATAGAATTCATTTTTTTGTAGTATGTTCCTCTGTATCATATCTTTACCGTAAAAGAAAAAATAATTTTGTAGTATTTAAATTTGCACAAATATATGCGAAAAATTTTTTAGATTACAAAAAATATATATACAATAATCCTACTCAATAAAATAATCCTACTCAATACAAAAATAGCAAAATAACTGAATTTATTAAATAAGATTGGAAATAAGACCGTTTAAGTTAGATACATTACTTTAAATACGAAGCGCCATTACGGTCTGAATATAAAGATGAACTATTGTTGAACTATTATATATATTCATTTAAACGAATTAATTCAGAAATTATAATTGCGTGCCGATATGGTTGTCAGACTTTCAATGAAATCAATCTGAAATATTAATCATCCCTCTAGATTTTCCAAATTTAATCTTAAAAAATTGTAATAAACTTATTGCGAAAAATATTGCCTCGGCCGGGAGTCGAACCCGGATCTCTTGCATTCCATACGAGTGTCCTAAGCCTTTAGAGACTTTTGCTTCGTAATATTCTTCGTAATAACCGATATATATATAGAGAGAGTTTCGCATTATAGGCGAGCGTGTATAAACAATAAGATTGGAAATAAGACCATTTATGTTAGATACATTACTTTAAATACGAAGTGCGACTAAGGTCTGAATGTAAAGATGTTGAACTGTTATACAATATATATTCAAACTATTATATATATTTCCTCCTATTTTTACTGACAAACAGATTTTAGAATGGCTACATGTTACAAAAAGATTTATTAATGACTTAATATACTTATCACAAACGCTGACAAGGGAAGTGTTACTGTTGCTCTTGACAAGGACACCTACGTATCGAAAATGGAGAAGATTCTTTCAGACACTTACACTTATGTAATCGTTAATAAAGATCCGAATAGGAAGTTGATTCAGGACTTACGTACATTGTTGGTGAGATGGAAGCGTGATCGGTTTATTGACGAACAAACATATCGGAGATTGCTTACAACTGATGGTGTTATATTTAGAGTTTACGATTTGACCAAAAGACAGTTACATAAAGACGGTAACCCATTGATAGTGATTGTGTTCTCTGTTAACAGTCCATTATATTATCTTTTTCTTTTTTAACATAATATAATTAATGATAGTATATCAAAAGCTCCTAGTCACATTAAAAACAGTTTCCATTTAAATGGTACTGTTTTTGATTCTGAATATGTCTTGGCTTCGTTAGATGTAGTATCCCTTTTTACTAATATTCCTATTGAGCTAGTATTAAATAGCATCGACAGGAGATGGGTTTACATTTCGGCGAAGACAAACATCTCAAAAAATGAATTCATTATTGCAGTTAGATTTATTTTATTCAACTTTTTTTGCTTTTAATAACAGAACTTACAAACAGGTTTTCGGTACTTCAATGGGTTCACCGTTATCGCCGATAATCGCTGACATTGTAATGCAAGATTTAGAAAAAAATAGCACTTAAAAAATTGTCAGTACAACCATCGTTTTACTTTAGATACATTGATGATGTCATTCTTGCGCTTCTATCTGGTGTCATCAATGACGCTCTAAATATTTTTAATTCTTTACATACGAGATTGCAATTTACTTTAGAGGTTGGTACAAGTGACAGATTGAGTTTTCTTGATACGATACTTGTTATAGATAATCAGAGAATTATGTTTGACATTTATCATAAAGAGACGTTTTCGGGAACGTTCTTTAATTTCCATTCAAATCATAAAAAAAGCACTATTATCAGTTTCATTGATAAAATTATCCTCTTATCACATCCACGGTTCCAACAAAAAAAATCTGATAGATACTATTCATATCTTTTTAAATAATTGTTATCCTCTCTCTTTTATCTTCTCTACAATTAAACAAAGATTAAAGTTTCATATACATAATAAACATATTACCCGTAATGCATAAGAGAAAAACAAATATTTTACGATTTCTTACGTCAAGTCTATTTCCGAAAGTTTTCTTCCTATTTCCAGTATGTTCCATTGTAGCCTTCTTCTATTATCATCCTAGCCTTCTCTATCCTTAACACATTAAAAAGTTTTATAAAAAGAGGAAAAATAAGCTTGATTTCCTATCCAATCAGAATGTAGTGTATAAGATCTCCTGTGATGATTGTGAGGCGAGTTATGTTGGTCAGATAAAAAGAAAATTGAGCACGAGATTACACGAACATATCTCGGACATTAAGAAGAATACTGGTCCTCCTATTGTCATAACTGATCATCGTATTAATTTTGATCACAATTTCAGGTGGAACGAGGTGAAAATTTTAGACTGCGAATCTTCGTATTAGGTGTTGGAATTAATTCGTAGCGTTTTTAATGAAAGAATGTTATTTATTTCACATGAGCATTAAAAAATACATTAATGAAAGTACTTCCCATCACTTGTAAAACGCTACGAATTAATTCCAACACCTAATATAATAAGAGATTGATGTCTGAAATGGTTCACATTAGAAGACAGAAACAAGGTCTTAATAAACAAAATGATACTGAATCTTTACCTGAAACTTACTCACAGATCATTCAATCTCTTTCTCCTTCTTAGCTGCATTATTTTTCTATTCATTTCTCCTCTTCCCATTTTCTCTTCCCTTTACTTTATTTTCTTCCTCTTATGCTCCCCTTTCTTTTTAGTTTACTACTTCAACCTTCTTGTCTTTATATTTTGTACTTCACATTGTCTCTGAGCATCTTGGAGATTACATTCAATCTCATCGCATTGCTTAATAAGAGATAACGTATCACTTTGACTCAATAAAAGATATTTATTCTCAATTTATTTGTGACTAAATTAAATATATATAATGTATGATACATCATACATTCTTTATTCGCATTAATGACTCTTATGTACATTTCGCATAATATTAGATTATTTTTTGTCTTTTTATTTTTATTTTTATTGCGACTCGTTTTATACTTTTCTTTTTATTACTTGCGACTCGTTTTGTACGAGTATGTACGAGGTTTGTACGAGTAGATACTTTTCTTATTATTTTGATTTCTTATTCCTGTGGCAATTTTACATCATTTTTGTACTTTCTAACGGAAACATGTTCGTCCTTAATCTACATATACAAGCCAGAGGAATATCTTGTTGTCGATTATAACTTCCTTATAACTTTCATTTTCTTTGGAGCGAGATTTATATTTGGTACTGCGATCGAGAGCGAATTTTAATTTTTATATATTTTATCTATGTAATATTTCCATTGTTATTTTTGTTCACATTGAAAATGATCCAACAGCGATTGAAACGTTTGTTTCACTTGTTTTACTTGTTACCGGTCAAATTAAAGTTTATATTTTAACTTGATGACATGTTTTATTTATTAACTGTTCAAAAGATTCTTTTATTTTATTATAATTGTTTTAGGCTCATAGCCCTTTATCTTTCTGTTTATATATTATATATTCATTTAAATGAATTAATTTCAGAAATTATAATTGCATGCTGATATGGTTGTCGGACTTTCAATATTTTATTTTTCGTAATAAGTTTATTACAGTTTTGTAAGATTAAATTTGGGAAATTTGTGGGGATTATTGTAATTGCATAAAACTCACTCTATTACTTTGTAAATATTCACATAACAATAGATTGTTAACAATAAATCATAACGTTAGTTAATTCACACTTCATTCTCATTTTATTTAAAATCTGAACTCGTATTTAAACCTCGTACCCGACTTCCTTGTCTTTCAGAAATCACACGTGGTTCAATCTCGAGTTATAAGGATTAAGATTCTTAACTCGAAATTTGAACGTTCTACTGCTCGTTGGAACGGGACGTTAACTTGAAAGAAAATTTCGGAGCAACAAAAAGTGCGTTCGACTCATGGTATTCGAAGTGTCTTTCTATATCCTTACTCATCATTTGTCTCTCCAATTGATTCAAAAATTATGGTTGTTGGACTTTCAACGCAATCAATCTGAAATATTAATAATCCCCCCAAATTGCCCAAATTTAATCTTAAAAAACTGTAATAAACTTATTGCGAGAAATGTTGCCTCGGCCGGGAGTCGAACCCGGATCTCTTGCATTGCGTGCGAGCGTCCTAAGACCAGAGAGACCTTAGAAATATTCCTCGCAATAACCGATATGTATAAAGAGTTACGCATTGTAGGCGAGCGTTTATAAACAATAATAGATTGGAAATAAGACCGTTTTTGTTAGATACATTACTTTAAATAACGCCTCTACGGTCTGAACGTTAAGATGTTGAACTATTATATATATTCATTTAAATGAATTAATTTCAGAAATTATAATTGTATGCTGATATCGTTGTCGGACTTTCAACGCAATCAATTTGAAATATTAATAATCCCTCTAAATTTCTCAAATTTAATCTTAAAAAACTGTAATAAACTTAACTAAAGTCCGACAACCATATCAGCACGCAATTATAATTTCTGAAATTAATTCATTTAAATGAATATACATATAATAGTTCAATATCTTTACATTCAGATTGTAGTGGCACTTCGTATTTAAAGTAATAAATTTATTTGTGAAAAAAACACTTTTCAAAAGCACACATGGGTCTTTCAGTACACAACTTTGCGACTGCATTGCTCGTCAACACACCAAGGTCCGTGTCGCTTATCTATATTTCTCCCACCACAAAGATTTTTTATGGAAGAGGAGCATAGGGCCAGACCACAGTGATAGAAAAGAGTAAAATCTCCATAACCGTTCTGTCCCGAAAACATTCTTCCATTTTTTTCCCTGGTAGTGGCGCTGTTATAGCTGAAGACCTGGCCTCTTCCATGGCGCGAATATTTAAACTGCAGAAATGAAAGAATCGAAGGTAATTGTTCAGTTTCAGCCACATGCTCTTAAAAATCGATGCAGAAAATACTTATTCTAGTCTCACTTATATGTCCTTTTATATTAGTCTCTGCTATCGGTATGACAGATTTCTAACTTAAATAGTTGTTACTTTAACGGTTAATATCTCGATCCACGGACGTAACGACATTTCTTTTGCCAGAATCGTTCATTTCGTGCAAGAATGTATTGAATGAACTTAATTTTATCAATATTGGAAATGAAAAACTTAAATTCAATAATATTATCTTACAAACTTTTAAACCTGAATAAATAACCTTCGGTACTTTGAAAAAACTTCTTTATTCCTTTGCACTTGTTTATTGGTATAAGTTAATGCAATATCTTTTTATCATGATATTTACTTTTTATTTTTCACTGAGTTATTTTTAACTCGTGTTATTCTTACTGCAATTGTGGATATTGTACTTCCTTCCCTATCACACAATCGGATAAACGAGGTTATCAGTGATAGAAGAGCCACGAATTTTTGCCGCTGCGGAATCCACAGTAAATTGCAAAGATTTTATTCCTTTCTATTATTCCGTGGGTCAGACGCACAAGTATATGAGAAATAGAAACTACAATATTATCAATGGCATAGATACGAATGATCCATGTGTGCCGTTCGAGGATTAATGTTTGCCGGTAACAGTAGGTAATTCGCGGTCGAAATTCAGATACACCGGTGTGTATCCGATAGTTTTGTGTTGCACCGTATTAAATTTGAATTGTAGCTCCGGGATGCACTCATCCCAATTTCAGTGATTGCGGTTTACATACTGCGATCATTGTCTTAACGGTGATTTGTTTGTTCGACCGAATTACAGTGAGGCGCATGAATCTCAGTGACGGATGTTAAAAGCTTGCAGCACATGATGTTTGTTTTCTTTCTGGATTCTTAGCTGGATTAGAATCTAACTATCGTATTGGTTGCATTACAATGCCAGCATCGCAGCCAATACGATGGCAAGATTCTAATCCAGCTAGCAATCCAGCAGAAAAATAAACATCGTATGCCGCAGGCTTTATATGCGTTCAGTAGCTTTTCGAACTGAGCTGATTTTAATTGCATACTATTATCTGTCAACACGTTTTCCGGGCATCCATGACGGAAAATCGCTTTTATAATACTCGACGTAACCGTTGGGACGATCGCGCATTTCAATTACATTTTGTATAATGATTTATGTTTAACCAAGTGTGTCTCTCTTTCGACTATAGCAGCAGTTCTATCAAATCTAACGTTACTTGTTGTCATAGTCGATTTATTGCTATTGTATGCAGTTTTCTGTCGGGTTTAATTTCAAATTTGTGCTATCTTGTGCGTAAGGCAATTCCGACAGTTCCGGACATATTGTGCTATTTCTATCATCATGTTGGACCAACAATAAAAATGTGTGATATGCGCAATTGTCTTTGCGATTCCGAGATGACCGGCGATTGCGGCGTCGTGATTGTTATACAAGATGTCAGCACATTGTTCCGTCGGTTCGCTTCCTATTGTTCAGTGGCGGTTTCTTTGAAATTCAATTCGTATAATAAGTGTTTATATAATCTTCCGTCGTTAATTTTGTAATCTGGGTAATTTTGAGATTCTTTCTGCTTGCTCTTGTACAGATTCCAGAAGGCGGCGATACTAAGAATACGCGTTATTACAGATACGATTGTTGCTACTGATTGGCGTGATAAGGCATCAGCTAATCTATTCAAGGTCTTTTCGATATTTTATCTCGATATTATACTAGGCAATTTGAATGCCTAGCGGCCTAATCTTCCAGTTGAGGCTTCCAGCTTTTGCAATCATTGTAAAGATCGATAATCATCGTAAACGGATATTCTTCTAAATAGTCGCGCATTTTATGGATGTCCTATATAACCACTAGGCGCTGCAGTTCCATTGCATTGTAATTCCATTTGGCCTGATTCAGTGTGTGTTGCCGTACACATTACTCGCGCCCCCTCCGGGAAGTTTTGAATTAGCACAGTCCCTAACCTGTTTGCGCTAACATCAATTTATAAAATAAAACATCTGATGAAGTCCAGACAGGCAAGCACCGTTAATATTTTTTAAGGATATTTTTTAAGGACATATGCGGTCTCTTTGTCGGGATCTCAACGGATATTTTTCCGGATGCAGTAAGAGGAGCGGTTATTGTTGCAAAGTCCTGGACTTAAAACATTGATACCATGATGCTATTTCGAAAAATTGACGTATTTATTTAACGGCCTTTGAAACTAATCAATCGACTATAATCGCTAACTTTTTCCGAACCAGTTCGTACGTCTTCACGATTGATGATGTACCGAGATATTTCAGCTGCTCCATGCAGAAGCGGCATTTTTCTGGATTTAGCTTAAGTTTGGCTTCCTGGAGTTTTTAAAAACTTCTTGAAGAATACTTAAGTGATCTTTAAATGTCCCAATAATTGGGATGATATCGTTCAAATATACGAAAACATTTGATTCAAGTTCATGTCCGAATATGGTGTCTAATAATCCCTGAAACGTAGCGAGCGCGGAATATAAGCCAAGCGGCATAACAATGGATTGAATAACTTTTTTCGGGAACTGTGAACGCAGTGATCGGTTTGCTTTTCGTAGTCAATGCCTGTCAGTAGCCACCTTTTAAATCTAGAGTTATGAGGTATCACAACTTATTCAGGATCGCGGTTGTCTAGGCAAATTGTCGGCAAGGGATACGCATCAGGTTCGATGACTGCATTTACGCGCCGGAAATCTAT